TTGATTGGATTTGATGATTATTATCTTAAGGTTGAAGTAGTAAGAAAATGTGAATTTACGAGTTTTTAACGCTAAAGTAAATAGGTGAAGTTTGCCTCCCTCCAGATTGAAAGCGCCCCTATTCCAAGAGTTTTCATAAATAAAATAGTTGTAGTTTGCAGAAAACTAACTTAAAACTTTATTAATATTTGAAACCGATATGTTTACAAATTTCAATAAACTGTATTTTTGGCTAATAAACCTCCGATTTTGTAGGACATTTAGTAGTAATATTTTATATAATTATGGCCATAACTAAGGGAAAAGTGTGTAATTTTCTAGTTATTCGCAAATAAAGTTTCTTTTTTTTCATAACTTGTTTTCCTGAATTTTCGGGGTGATTGGAATATTTTGCCAACCTGAAGGAGAAGGAAGCCGTCGAAATTGGTGGCTCAATCTTGAGATTTGGTGAAAAAGTAACGATGATATGGCTTGCCGATCAAAAACATCATCGATGAATAATATTAACTCCTCCTCTCTCGATCATAGAGACCTCAAGTCGACGAAATGAGACATGTATTCAATGACAGTACTACAATTAATGTAAGGTTGTGTGGATGCGAACCCTATGCCTTGCGTTATCTCGAAAATAGTAGGTTTTTCGGCTTAAAAACGCAGGATCCGATAGTTCCGAAGGAACTATCCGGGTCTTGCTGTACGCATCAAAATCTTTAAGATCCAAATTGTCCCGTATCGATCTACAGACCTACCACCGTTCCATTATAGAAGCCTAGCAAAATGTTTGTATCGACTTTATTTATTTTAGAAAGAAAAACAAAAGTGGAGAATACGATTCGCTAACCCCCAGTGAAATTCTGAACCCAACGGTACCCCATTCATGGTATTTGAGCATGACAGGAGCTTATATTTGGTACAAAACCGATTTCGAGCCTTACTGTAATAATATATGTACGGATTAAAGTTTTGTATAAATTACTGCAGTAAACTTTACGCTAACTGATCGTCATTTGTATCATAATCTAAAAATTATACAACAGGTTTACGATAACTAAAATATGCGATGAATACTTTTGATTGAAGCCTATTTGCTAAATATCTAACGATAACTTCGTCATTACATTTATTTTAATTCAAATTTTTAACAGATCTGATTATCATTTGGTATTCGAAAATATCTTTTTCCCTTTTTGCCTCACTAACACTTCGCCGAATTAAGATACAATTATGAATAATAACTCATAACAAAGAGGATGAAATGCTGAAAATTTCCCTCGCTTAAAGTATGCAGGTCCGAATTCCGAATTTTGGTTTCTGAGATATTTGAATCCAAAATAAAAAACACTTTAATTATAGTCGAGTCGAGCCGACTTTACCCCAGCGTTACATATCCGAGGACTGACGTTTCAGTCTCATTTACTGTTCACAAAAGAAGTGCAAAGCGCGACTAAAGAATTTTTAATTAAAAAATAAATAAATAAGATAACCCATTCAATCAGGAAAGGTTTTGTTTTTGTTTGTTATTTTCATATTCTCTTATATATTTTTGCTATTAATCTGGTAATTTTTTTTGTACACTTTATAATCCTTTTACTACAAAAAGCATTGTAAAGTGTATTTTAGATATATATATATATATATATATATATATGTTTTTTAGTGAGTTTCATGTAAATCTGATATATATCGGTGATGGAGCTCACCTCCGACTTGAATTGACATGATAGAAAAAAAAAATCTTTTTCGCTTCAAATTGATTTATGGCAATGAATAGATTGAAAATGAAAAGCTGCATTTTTTCAATGGAGGTAGTGTGCGGAAAAATAAATTCTATAAATAAAATCCAATATTTTTTTTTCAATTTCAAACACCCTGAAAGAATGCATCTTTTCATTTTCAATCCATTGATATAAATGATACAATAAAGAAGAAAAAAAGTGATTCACTTTATTTTCTCTGATCCTTCAAAATACTTTATTAAGTATTTATTTACTATTCCTATACTTTTGAAACACAAACTTAGCATTTTTATAGATATATTTTTACATTATTTTTCTTACAAATTTTCTCTCAGGTATAATAAACAGTAATATTTTTTTAAATCTATAAGAATAGCAAAGAAGAAATATTCCAATTGCAATACCACATTGCTTTTTATGAAAAATTGAAGTTAATAACACAGATATTCAGCCAACTATAATTATTATTATCATTATAAGATATTAGAACAAAATCATAACTTTGAAACCTATGCAAAAAAACTGAAAAATATTTATAAATAACCTTTTGGTCTATTTAGTCGGATATTTCCTTTAAGGAAAGGTCAGTAATCTTAAAACCCATCAATAATTTCTCCCTCCTTTCAAAGGATATATAAATTTTTTTAATTTAATTTTTTTTTAAATAATAAAATCACAAAAAAAAAAAAATTGTAAGTACGGAATAAATAATAAAATAAAAATAAAACCAATAATCTGTCATTAAATAATTATTAATTAACACAAATAGATGATTGAATAGGAACTAATATTTATGATTAAATCGAAAGAAAAAAATATAGCAATAACATTTAATAAATTTCAAGATTTTTAACATAAATCAATTTGTTTTCACAGTAATAAAAAGGTTTGAAAAATGTTCCCATGTATTAAGCAAACTTTAATAATGACCATTTTATACTTATATTAGATGTTTTAAATTTAGATGTTCAGGTTATCTATTCAATGTAAATAATGAACTAAAATACTATTTCGCAAATAGCAAACTGGATGATTTACGGAAGGAAAAAAAACACTAAATGACATACAGAAAAAATAAATAAAAAGAAAAACTGTAAATACATATCAAGCAGATATTTTTTAGAATATTCCTCTCCCCTGACACAATTTAGGATATTATATCAAATGCATTCACAACGGATAACAAAAAAGTTGAAATTCCAATAAACATAAAATCTCAAAAAAAAATGAATCAACTATTTTCGAAAGGAAATATTTTCTGGTTATATTAAAAGATAATAATTTAACACAGCTGTTTTTTTTTAAATCTTAAACTATTGAGTAAGGTTAATGATTAAGAAAAATCCCTGAGATTATTTCATCAGCTATTATCACTATCTAATACTAATATTTTAAATAAATTCATTAACACTTTTTTATTAAACATGAATTCATTAAAACTTATTTAATATCTATTCAAAATATACTAAATTTTTCTATAAAATAAAGATAATTGAAGGATAACGCATGATCAGTTAATTAATTTGTAGAGAATTATTTTAATAAAATATTGTAGATTCTTTATTTACGCGTACTAAAACTGAGCCTTCAATCAAGCCAAAAATCTTAAACTAAATAAAGAGTAAGATGTCAAAAAGAAAATTATCTTTGGAATATATTTATTTTTATTTCAAATTAGACCTAAATATTCATAAAAATTAAAATTCAAGAGTATAATAATAACTTGAAAAAAGTATTTTTTTTTTATAAAACAGAAATATTACAAAATCTGTTGTTTCAAAAAATGAAAAAAACAATTATTAATTTGTCTATGTAAAAATATTTGTTTAATGAATCAAAGTTTATTTATTTGATTAAAATAAAAATTAAATGTTAATGTTTACATAAATGGATCTTTAAAGAAAATTGTTTTTTAATTAAATGAAATTGGTATATATAATTTCATTTTAAAATACAAATTACATGAACATGACAGATATGATAGGAAAAATAATTTGAAATATATGTTGCAAGTACTTGTAAAATATAAAAATATAATAAAATAAAGAAATAAGGATAATTCATGATTATGATTATACTATAAACAATGCTTATTTACGTAGACGGAACTAACCTAAATTGTGTCACTGATAACACTGTCATATTTATCTATTGTAAAATATTGATTTCAAGAAATCAAAATTTTTCTTTAACAAATTCATTTACAATATTGATTTTGTTTAGTGGTATATATAAAATAAATATTTATGAAACTATAATAAAACTAAGACATAACAAAAATTTAAATTAAATTAATTAATAACTTTGATGTGAATAAGGAATAAGAGAAAAAGAAAATATCGAAAAGGATGAATATGAAATTTAAAAAAAAAATAATTAGAAGATTCAAAATCCAAAATCAAAGCAGATTATTTTTATTTATTATTTTTAAAATATATTCTTATCTTGATGTTTATCTTGATAACAACTGATACCTCAGGATGATAACGTATGAAATAATAATAATTTTTCAAATTACAGTCAATTGAAAATAATAAAATTTGAAGATTCCAATAGAACTAATAAATAGACTAATAAAAAAGTATTTTGAAAAGTACGAAACCCAAAATTATGTAACATAATTGCAACACTTATAAAAAATTTTATTACTTTAATTAAAAGAAAATTTATTATTTTCCAAATATTTTATAAAATACAATATTTAATACAGCCATTAATAATTATGGAACACAAAACATCAACCATGTGCATTAATTACATGTATTCACTCATGTTTAAGATAAATAACGAAAGAAATTAAAATAAAGTTTTAGATAGATGTAAAATTTGTAAAACATGAAAATTCATCTTTCTTTAAACTAGTAAATTTCTTTAATTTAAAATCAAAATTAAAATAACACTCCTCAAGAAAGTGATCTGAATGATTTAGTTGACAAATGAAACAAAATTTTAAAAAATTGATCTTATCAATTGCAGATATGAGTGCAATATTAGTTAAGAAATTAAAAAATTAAAGATTAAAGCAATCAATATCTTATTAAACAATAATATTATATCTTATAAATATATTTAGAAACTCGAACTTATATAATTAATCTGTAACCAACGAATCCATGAAATAACAAGTGACCTCTCCTCGTATTTATGTAAGAACATGTATTTTAATAAAAATAAGAATCTTCATCACAGTAATTTAATGATCAATAGATAAAAACAAGAAGCACATGTAACGCAAACAAATTTAAATAATAAAATAAAACTTACCGGATACAATAGATTTCGCAGCTTCATTGTAAACTTTTTCTTGTGAAGCATTGGGCTTAAATACTTTATCAAACAAATATACTTTTCCCTGAAAATAATCATATATATATATATAAATGAATTTAGAAAAACGATGTATATTTTTTTAATGATAAGTAATATTTTAAAGATAAGGTGGATATTAAAAATATGGACAAGTCATAGTGTAAAGAAAATGACATGACAGTAGTCATGTAGGATGACTAAGAATGGGAAAGTCAGAACAATTTTTAGATGTTCACAAAAACAGCCTTGAAATTAAAATAATAAAGAATGTTTCTTAATAGAGAGTTAAAACAAATACTCGGTGTGGGTAGTAAGGCATTTTTTATGTAATAAAGCAGTGGGAAGTGTCCACTTCATTATTCAAAAAATTTATTCAAGGGAATGAAAATGACTTGGGCATCTTAATAAATCAAATTATAATTACTTTAAGAGAAATTAATTAAGTAAATGGGGAAAACCCCTGAGAGAATGATGGGTTTTATCAAGGTTCATAGAAAATGGTTTTTACATGAAATGAAGGATAAATGAAATAATATTCAGTAAGAGTACTCACCCCTATAGAGATGCAATTCTCATCACCTCCAGAAGGGAATTTAACGATGAACTTACTCCCAGCTTTTTCTTCTGAATCGTTGAGTGGCCTAAAACGGCAGACCACTTTGATACTGTCCTCTGCGGCTATTTCCCTGTCCCCCGACATGTTGAAACTCGACTATTGCCACGCTACATTCATCAAAACTAAAACTGTTATATTATAACTTGCCGGCACATCTGTGAAATAAGTTAAATATGAAAATGTTGCGAGGGGCTCCTTTGGCCACCTAGAGAGCCAATATGTCCGACATAATGATTCAGAGCGACACTAGCGCTCCCCGTGGCCGCCGATCAGCTGTTACCATCCCTCTCTGCACTCACGCTTAAATTACTCCTTTTCAATCTTCTTTTTTTAAACTTCTAGTCTTTTAAATGTCCATTACAAACGAGAAAATTATTGTTACGAATCCTATAATTAAAGAACAATCCGAAATTAATTCTATATTCACCTTTAATATAAATAAACAAGGGAAAACTTTAACATTGCTCATGCGCAACTTCTTTCTATTGATTTTGTCGGGCATATTATTGTCTGGAATAGGAAAGTTCCTTCGGAAATTTGTCAAAGGCGTAATTGTGAGACTTTATACCTTCAATGAAGGTCAAATAAATCTAATTTCAATTTATGGATAGATAAAATAATATTGCTTAAATCCATAACTTCCTTAAATCATTGAAAACAACATGATATACATTATTCATTCCGTAGCAAATACATTTTATAGTAGCTCAAATACGGTATTTCGAACACCTCAATACAACGTGTTCATTTCAAACATCGAAAAAATTTAAAAATTATTCCACCAATAATTTTCCGATTAATTGTATTGACTTGTAGAAAACATTTACGAGTTCTTAATATTTTCCTGTATTTTTAGACATTTTACAAACTATGAGAAAAACATGATTAATATAATATGAAAATATAATTGGGACCAAGTAATATTAACCATGTAACCATGCACATCTTAGGATCATTACATATCCTATATATTATTTCTAAAAGGTGTTTTTTTTTCGGTACGCCATAACTTCGTCAATTCTTCATCAAATCCAATCAATGACCACTTTTTTTGAAGATATTCTTCTCCTTCAAATGCGAAAAAAGTTATGAAGGAAAAGAAACTTTATTAGCGAATAACTCAAAAAGTATGCATTTTTTCTTGATTGTACCCATGATAATAAGAAAGATTGCTAAATTACCTACAAAACAAAAAAAAAAAAATCGGACAATTATTAACAAAGATACAGTCCATTAGTTTTGGCATACTTAATAATGTCTTCCTGTTTAAAGATATTGCATTTCGGAGTAGAATAGTCTACTACGTTTTTTTTTTCCTGGCTGATATATTAATTTTATTATTTCTTAAAGGAATTTGTTTGTTCTCATATTTTTTTTTTAAAATAATTTAGAAAATCTAATGATCGAGGCATCATTTTGTCTTTATTACTTTTATTATCTTTCCAGTCAGCGTTTTAAAAATAGGTCTCAGCAAAGCAATTTGTACAAATATTTTGGTCTATTATGTTTACTGGAATATTTTAATCGATCAAGGAAAATTTTTTAATTCCTTACATAATAAATAGGAGCTACTCATTTCCATACTGTTTTGCTATTTCTTCACAAAACAAAATTTTCTGCTAATTATTCGCACGTATAATTACATAATAATCTGAAATTTTTTAAAACAACTCAGCATCATTTTTATTTTTTTTATTTTTTTTTTTTTGGTGGCTTAGGCATTTCACAAACTATGAGAAAAGCAATTATGTAAATGGTTATGCTGTGGAGATGGTTAAGCGTATATTTTAATTTCATAAGAATTTAGTCGGGGGTGTTGTCAATATATATATATATATATATATATATATATATATATATATATATATATATATATATGTAATACTATATTACATACTAGTATTTTTATTGAATTAACCAACGTTTCGAGCCACGTTGTAGGTCTTCTTCAGGGCATTCCATCTTGAGACCAGTCTTTCTTTTGGCTAATTATTAACGAAAAGGAGTTGAGACCAATTTTGTGTCTTTCTTAAGATGGTCAAGTTTTTTATTGAATAAGAAGGCACTTCTAAAAAACTATTCAAGATAATTAAATTCTTAGTACAATATCGTAAAGTAGAGAAAATTCTCTTTGAGATAACAGTGATTAAATTTATTAAAGTCGATGATAAAAGGTACTTTCAGATCTAATACGGCCGCTATACTGCTGCGTACTAATCGGGAATACAAAGATATGCTACTCATGTATGGGTACTGCAACCCGGATCCAGGAGGGGAATTTTGGGCTGAAGCCCCCTCACCCCAAAATGGTGAAATATTACCAAGTCTTATGAAAAAAATTAAAAAATATCTGGTGTGTCCACTCACACGACTTTCCTATATATTTCAGAAAAGTTTTTATATCTTTACATATGTTCATGAAGAAACCAAAAAAAAAATTGAATTAGATTTATTTTTCTGAAAATTGATCAAAGAAAAGATTTGAGTACGATTTATTTGATAAACTAAAGCAATGTAAACCGGCTTAAGGTAGATCAGTGTAAAAATTTCAATACTCTCTAATATTACTGATCAAAAACTTTTTGCCATAGCTTAGTATTGTCAAACAATAATTTCTGTTAATTTTTTTTTTTTTTTTAAACTTTTATTATGATATTTACAACTGTATTAGTATGAATACATCAAGTAAATTTGTACAGAGAAATATTATTACATGAAGCACGCTTGTTGAGAAACTACCCACTGGTAGCACTCTAATAATTTCTCTACATGAGAAGATCACGGGGCCATCTTCTTTTCAGACGCCTCGGAGGGTTATCAGGAATCGAAGAGGAAGAAAGGTTAGAAACAAGAGGATTCGGATGGTTATGAAGTTTATTATGGAAGTATAGGTATCTGGATTTGGCCAAATCGGAAACATATGGAACATTGAGGTCTTTATGGATTATTTTATTAGTGACAAAGTAAGGAGCATTGAGGAGTCTGTTAAAATTAGAAGAAATAGTGAAGCTTGTGTGATGCGAGCAATAGATTTTCTTACTTTCACTTAGTCATCTTATTTCTCTCATTTATCCCTTTCTGACTCCAGGTAACTTCGTTAATAGTTGTCGTGGCATAAAATTTTTATTTTCTTTATAACTTTTTTCCTGAATTTTCTCGAGAATTTAGTCCATATATGAAAATTGAAAGGACAATTATTTGAACATTATAGAAAACTTTCATCAATATCGATAGAGCACGGATTTCTGTCACAGCCATCAGTAGTCAAAACCCTACAAAATAAAAAAAGAAGCAGAAAAATCGGTTAAGTAGTTCCCGAGAAAATCTTGGCACAGACAGACAGACCAATGGCTAAAAATGTGTTTTTCGGACTTAAGGGGCTGTGAAACGTATAGATCCGTTGAGAACCGCATATCGGAAATTTGACCCGATTACAATACTTTCCTTACCTAGTATAGGTAGGAAAGTAAAAATTATCTCTAAAAGTATTATTGTTCGTGTAATTAGATTTAATAGGACTTCAAGAAGCATTTAAAAAAAAAAAAAACATTTTGTATAGGTACTTAGTTTCTTTCTTTTTCTTTCAAAGTAATTTTCGGTATATTTAAAAAAAAAAAGCTTAAGCTGAAGCCCCCCCCCTCCAAAAATGATAGTGACTGCAGCAATACATCAGTCATTTTAGACCTCCTGAAAGTTCCTATTATAACCGACCTTAGTAAATTTAATCATTGTTTTATCAAAGAAAATTGTGTCTACTTTAAGATGGTCATACCAGACTGAAACGACAAGAAACCGCTCGACATTTCCGCTTACTCCAGACACTTACTGAACAAACGCTCTAAACTTTCAATTAATTACAAAAGACTCATATACATGACTATAATAAGGCCATTTGGACTTACAGAGTTAAGCTATGGGGCTCCACTAAACCAACGAATTCTTCTCGTATCCAATCCTTACAATCCAAAATCCTTCGTAAAATCCTCAATGCTCCCTACTTTGTTACAAATAATACCATCCATAATGACCTTAATGTTTCTTTTGTTTCAGATCTGGCCCAATCCAGATACCTATCCTTCCATAATAAACTTCAGAATCATCCCAACCCTCTCGTTTCTAACCTTGCTTTCCATCTAATCCTGATAATCCTCCGAGGCATCTGAAAAGAAGATGGCCAGGTGATCTCCTAATGTAGACATATCATTAGAATGCTACCATTGGGTAATTAATGGTAATTACAAATTAACTAGATGTATTTATTTGATACAGTAGTAAATATCATTAAGAAATAATAAAAAAAAACTACGATGTTATGCTCAGAATGTATCTATCATATATAGTTTTTGATTAATTCCTACTTATTAAATAAAAACCGTGACCATCTTAAGGAAGACACAAAATTATATTTCATGTTCGGAATAGGCCCATGTGTCAAATGAACTATTTTGTTAGAAATCTTGTCTAGACACCCTGAATACATTATTAATAATATAAATAAAGATAATTTTTTTTTTATTTGTATAATATTACAATACAATAATATCTGTGTTATTTGCAGCAGATTAAAAAGTTTTTGTGAATATGATACTCTATAAATGTCAGTATTTTTTATTCAGGAATAAGAAAATACCGGAATGCTAGAAATTGTTTTGTTTTTGCTACTGACCTAGAAATAGTCTAATGAAATTCATGAATCGATAACTTACAATATTTGCTTTGATATGACCTATATAAATTCGATGAAATATTCAGACATCTTGATTTTTATGTATTCATTTTGAATTCAAAGGAGTTATTCACCTTAACACACGCATGTATGATAACGGATGAAATATTATACTCATTAAATATAGAATGATTTGATAGTAAAATAAAAATTGTACTGAGCTGCCAATAAAATTTTAAATTATTAATAAAATGATTAAATGACACGACGCTAAGATGTGCAATTTACGTTGTTCATATTACGTAGTGCCACTTATATTTCACAATATTACATTTTAAGAGGGTGATAAAATGTAAATACTCCATATACTCATATAGCCGTGTAATGAAAATTAATAAATAAATAATATTGTTAATCAATACAACGGAATATATATAATTAATAGTTAAAGTTATAATAGAAAATGAATAAATTGTGATGGCAATGGTCCTTAAACTGCCTTTAGTATCGAACGATCGCTAGGCCTGCGGCAAAGACCTCCATGATTGCCCTTTAAAGCAAACGACAATTTGATG